ACCTGGTCTTCTCTGCTGGAGTTTCGTATTAACTGTTAGTGCTTTGTTTGTAAAAAGTATCAGACCTCCATCTAGCTCCTCTCTTTGTACTCTGGGTGCAGAGGTCTCTCAGTGCCATCTCTGAAAAGGCTGCCCTTTCTTCCTTGAGTGTCCTGTGGTCCTTACTCACAGAACCGAAGACCAATTTGTATGCCTGTTACTGGTTTCCTTTATATCTCATTGATCCATTTACTTGTTCTTTGGCCAATACATGGTCTCCTAGTTAGTGCAGCTTCAGTTGGTCTTGAAGTGGTGTAGTGCCAGTCTTCCAATTTTGTTCTTTTCTTTTGTGATGGTTCCTCCAAGCCTTTGCTCTTTTCATGTAAATGTTATAAAATGTTTGTCAATAGTCATAAAATTATTTGCTTGGATTTTAGGATTGCACTGAATACGTGGACCACATACAGAAGAACTGATGTTGTAACAATATTGAGTTTTCTCATGAGCTCTTCTATTTAGACATGTGTATGGTTTCATCAGAATTTTACGGATTTTCTCATATTTTACATCCTTTGTTAGATTTATTTGATGTCATTTTTGTTACCACTGCACATGTCATTGTGTTTTTACTTTCAATTTGGAATCATTCCTTACTGGCATGTAGGAAAGCAATCAACTTGTACACTGACCTTTAATCCTGCCACTTGGGCGCTGTTGATGAGGGTCGGGCATGCTTTCTTCGTTCTTTGGGACTTCTGTAGAGACAACCAATTCATCTTTCAAATCTGTGTGCTTTTCCTGCTGGCTTACTTGCCCTGCCTACAACTTCTAGTACAAATGTTGATCAGGAGTGGCGGGTGGGATCCTGACAAATTGGGGATATTTCTTTACTTTCCTCATTTGCTAAGAACTATTATTCTGATTTTGTTAGGTGCTTTGTCTGTAATTATTGATAAGTTCTTGTTTAACCTATTGATGTGATGGGTTACATGAATTGATTTTTCAGTGTCAAACCAATCTTCCGTGCCTGAAATAAATCTCACTTATCTGCAGTGTATAGTTGATATTGCCCATTGTTGGATTTAATTTTCTAATATTTCAGGAGGGAGTTTTATATATGACATATATATGTTTATGTATGTTCATGAGAGATGTTGGTGTGTACTTTTTCTTTTTTTTTTTTCCACAGCCCCTAATACATCCCTGAGAGGGACAAGAAATTTTGTCCTTTATCAAGGCATTTAGAAATAGATAAATAAGGGAAAAGAAAGCAAGCATTTGTAACCTGTTTAAGACCAAATTATTATTATTTTGTTGTTTTTAAAACCACATATTTTCAGTAATGGAAAGCATTTTGGAAGAAATGAAAAAATTGATTTGGGAATAATATGGAATTTTATATCATTTGTTAGACACAAATCCCTGGAATGGTCTCTGGTGCTTGGGTTGGTGGGATTCTAACAGTCCTAAGGACCCCACCCAAGGGCAGCATGCACTGAATATAGGTTAGCAACTTCCTACTAAGCCTCAGAGGTGAAAAATATAGGTAGGCATTGTATGTTCCACAGGCTTAAAATGGTTAAAAGTGTGGAAGTGTCCATAGGCTGGGAATGCAGATAGAAATGGTCCTGTTTCCACAATCTCCCAGGAATTCTGTAACGATAGAGGATGGTGACAACTCGTAGTGGCCAGAGCCAAAGAGGGGGTAGTTCTTAGGATTTTTTAAGAACCCACAAACCTTTCTAGGAAATAGTTTATTTTAAGAGATAAGGGTAGTAAGTAAGGCACATGCCTGATACTTGCCTTGATGAAGGTATCACTAAAGTTATGAGTACTATAGCAAACTGTGGTGAAGAAAGTGAATGTGCTCGGCTATTAGAAAGAAAACATCTGAGGTCTTAAAAGCTTGTCTTAAAACAAGTAGTCATCTAAGTGAGGTGCTGGGAAAGTCCACACGGAAAAAGCACACCCATGTGAACCAAGGATTGCAAGCAAGACAATCTAAGATCAAGGAGGGAAATGTATTTGAGCATAAATTCTGATCATCCAGTTTGCAGGCTATTGCTTTTTATCTCTTGTAGTCTGTGTTTACTTATGGTATTGGGGTGATAATAATATTGTAAAATTCGTTTGCAATTATTTAATGTGTTAGTCTGGGTACTTCAGAGAAATAAATCCACAGAAACTCGTGTGTAAGAGAGAGTTTTATATAAAGGCTAAGTGTGCATCAAGAAAACATCCCAACCCAGTGCTCCCCAAGCCCACAAGTCCAACATTAACCCATATGCCCAACACCAATCCACAAAGTCCTCCTCCATCTCACAAAACAGACGCAATGATGCCGACTGCAGGAGGAAAGCTGAGTCAGTGAATGTGTAAGCATCTCAGCTCTGGCAGGGGTCTCCACACAGCTGCTCCAGCACCCAGGGCTGCATCGGGGTAGGTCCATGTGGCTTCTCCTTCAGGGATGTCTTGCAGGAAGTGAGCCTTGCTAGCTGGAGCAGGGAACTGGCTAAGGCAGCTTCACCCTGTTCGGACCATCAAAAAGCAAGAGACCCGAGAACTCAAAAGGCGAGGCTTACCAAGCCATTTATCCCTCCGCCCTTCAATTAACCCCACATGTGTTTATCAGCCAGGTTGGCACAATAAACTAGCTACCTCATTTACCTGGCTTCTGTTTTCTGGAAGAGATAGAGAATTCCATATACTTGCTTGGCTAAATCTTTGGTAGAGTACATCAGTGAACCCATCTGAGCTTGGTGCTGTTTTTACTTGTTGATATACTAGATAAAGTCCTATTCTGATAATCATCTTATATGTGTTTTGGTAAATTTTATCTTATAAGATATTGGTCCATTTTACCTACATTATCAAGTTTGTAGCATAAATTGACTCATAATACTCCAGTATTATCCTTTTCATGTGAGTGTCAACAGAACATTGTCAGAACATATGTCTCTTACGTTGTAAGGCACTCAAAATATGCTGGGGAAGGGCCGCCTCCTGAAATTTGAGTCAACTTTGATGGCGTGGATGGTGTAAATCTTTCAGGACCTTCATTTGCTGACAGGCCATGCTACAAAATGAGAAGAAACAGTTGCAAACATTCATTAATAACCATAATATGGACTGTACAACGTATGAACGTAAAAAATTGGAAATCATCAAAAATGAAGTGGAATGCTTAGAAATTGATCGTAGGCCCAAGTCAGCCAAAATGGACGAATGTGACTTTTTTAGCCCAATAGTCGTGGTTTACTATGCTGGGAATGACTAATTCAAGTTTATGCATCAACTGTGAAAGTCAGTGATGAAGGAATTGAAGAATCTACCAACTTCTTAGTCTGAAATTGATGAGTCGGGTGAGTTGGTAATTACTGGTGTCTGGAAGGCGTGCGTTGGAGATAAAGAATATCATTGCAGACACCGTCTCCAACGTAAGGCAACTATGTACCTCACTCTTGCCAGATGGAAAACATAAGGATCAAATTGACCACATCTGTGAGAAGAGAGGATGGAAAAGACCAATATCATTAGCCAATAGTCAGGGCCAGGGACCAGCTGTCTAATGGGTCATCAGTTTCTCATCTACAAGGTCAAACTGAAGCTAAAGAAAATAAAAACAAGTTTGTGAGAGTCAAAACACATAAGGAAGCCTAAGAAGAGTTGTTCTAGGTGTCCTTGAGTAGGTTCCAGCTCATAGCAACACTATGGACAACGAAACAAAAGAGTGCCACGCCCTGCACCATCCTCACACTTGTGTTTGCAGCCATTTCATCAGTCCATCTTACTGAGGGGCTGTCTCCTTTTTCACTGACCACCTACTTCACCAAGTGTGAGAAATGTCAAATTCCCAGACACAGCATTGGTTCCTCTTGGCACCTGGCCGATCAGTATAAACCCCTGACCTGGACATAAGTTGATGGGTCTCTCAAGAAAGAGAACTGGGTGGACTGCCTTCTCCCATAGGAGTTTAACAATGGGCCATCAAAGGATTTTAGCTGATTAGCACTCAACAAATACAATCTTTACTCACTTGGGCAAGAGAGAGACCTTTATTGCTTGATTTTGCAAAATAGGGTTCCCAAACCCAGAGACAAATGGGGCAAAAAAGTGCTACACAGCTCCTCCTAAAGCATTTTTTCTGCCAGTTTGCAAGCCTGTTCCCCTGGTTCCTCATTGGCTGAGTACAATGGGGTTAACAATCTTCCCCTAGCATCACAGAGTTTTATCCCCACCCCCCATCCCTCCACCAGCAGATTCCGTCCTCCTCTCCCCTTTTCTTCATTCATCCAGGTCCCACAATCTATACCCCAGGTGCTTACATTGTAGTAATTAATCTAATGGTTATCAACTGGTGCCCTGGTTATTTCATAGCTACCTGACTCTTTGCTCTCTGCTAAAGATGAGCCAGCCTGGTAACTTATTTCTCACATGAGCCTGATGTTCTATGTACATCCCCATTCCTGTTATGAGTGTGTGTTTGCAGCTGTTTCTTCTCGTTTTGAGTTGTGCCTCATCAGCAAATGAAACTCTTGGAAGCTTTACTCCATCCATGTCGTGGAGTCTACTGTGGGAAGGCAGCTCTTCCCCATCTCTCGTGATGCTTCAATGCTATCCATAATGTTTTCAGTGGCTAATTCTCCAGGAGACAGACTTCTTCTTAGACTGGAAACTCTGCTGAAACCTGTTCACCCTGGGTGACCCCTCTGGTATTTGAAATGCCAATGACATAGCTTCCAGAATCACAGCAACACGCAAGCCACAACAGTACAACAACCTGACAGACAAGCGGTGCAAATTTTTAATTAGTTTCAAACTACAGATAATTTATTTCAGTGCATCAGACGTCTATGAGACAGGATGCAGTCAGTAGGAAGTGCTTAGAGGAACCCTTGATGGAACAAAATCATGTTTCAAATCCTGAATTCCCAGTTCTGCAGGACTGTTCCACTCATGCTTTGTTCTTGGGGACATTGGCGATGTGGTACCTTGCTGATCCAGAATGCGTCATGTTCTAGGACTCAGTGGTCGTTGAGGATGTGGCTGTGGTCTTCAGCCAGGAGGAGTGGGCTTTGCTGGATCTCGCTCAGAGGAAACTCTACATAGATGTGATGATGGAAACCTTCAGAAATGTGTCCTCAGGTAAGAATGGTATCATGTATATTTTTTACTCTTTTAATCATCACCTTTTTAAAAATAAAAATTTGTTGGGAGCTCTTACAGATATCATAACATTCCACAGTTCAATCACATCAATCAGTATTGTACAATTGCTATCACAGTCAGCTTCAAAACACTTTTTCTTCTTGAACTCCTTAATATTAGCTCCCCTTTATCCCCTCCCTTCCCCCACCTTCCCCCAAGGAAACCTTAGTTACTTATTTTTGCTGCATCTGACACCTTCCAATATACCCATTCACACACAGTTCTGTGGTCCGCTCCCCTCAAGTGGAGTCAAACAGTCATCAGTGACCTTTTGTATTTGGAATGAAAAATGCTTATAAATTGATAAATACAACTGGCCTAGCCCTTGATCTGTGGAGCCCATATTTTGGCTTCCCTGTGAATATACAGTCATCTGAGTCTGGAGTTTCATTCGTAATGAAAAACTGAAAATTTTTAAGTGTTGTGTTAATGGATCATTTTAAGGTAAATATTTCTGTTTTGAGACTGTAAGCAGTTGTACAAGTGTGATATGAATATTTACCTCCATCCTCTGAGACCACACAGAGCAAAGTAGTTGTCGGATATCACGGATATGTTTGTTGTCTGCACGGTCTTTCCTCATGATACGTATTTCTCCAGGTTAAGTATGTCAGTTCTACCCACCTGTTATCCCATAGGTGCAAGGGAAGTGGAGAGAGGAAATTGCATATTAATTAATCAACTAGAAATAATTTCTTTTGGTCAGGGGAAATACCTTCACAGATAATCTGAGCTTTTCTGAGTTTTCATTTTCTCACACCTGTGGACATGCGGACTCTTGACCTTTTTTAATGCTATTTTTTAATGTAGTGTGTGCATTATGATTCAATTTAACTCTTGTAATGACACCTTTTTAATATCACTGTCACTCTCAATCCTCATTTTCCTGGTATCTTGATTTCTAACTAAACTGCTGACAGAGCTAAATGCCACTTTTCTTTGTTCACAGCAGCTTTTGTCCCCTAATAAATTATTTTGTTTTGTATTCTGAACCTTAACTTGAATTATTGGGCCAGTCTCTCCAAACGTTACTGATGGAGAAAACTTATCCAGCGAACATATAATGGTACAGCTCATGAAGACTAACACCTCCTCCTCCATGTTAGGAAAAACCTCTGTAGCTCATGTTCACAAAGACCAGCAGAAAGACCAGAGGAGAACTGTAAGGTGAGTGTGTCTGTCATACAGAAGAGAACTGTCTCAGTAGAAAGTCTGAATTTATCATAATGGAGTTTCTCCGAAGAGAACTGTCTCAGTAGAAAGTCTGAATTTATCATAATGGAGTTTCTCCGTGTATCCCTATTGTGTATGTTTTGAATCCCTATCATGTATGTTTCATATATGTATATAATATTTGGTAAGTAGAAGGTCAGTAAAACAGAAACTCCCTCATGGGCTCAAATATAACTGTGATTTTGAGGATGGTACATTGACCATGTATGACCATGTATGACTTCATTTTGTTTATATATATATATATATATATATATATATATATATACACACACATACACACACATACACAGATATATACACACACAATGGTACTGAACAACAATGGTGTATGTTAATGTGGATGTCAATTTATGTCTTCAGGTACTTGTCACAATATACCATTTCTATGAGTAAGATATCAAGTACTTGAGATATGTTATACTTAAACACACTAATCAGAAAGCCACATAGTTTTAAAAGCACTGACTATAGTTGTAGCATTTTGGTTCAGTGGTGTAACCTATGAAAGATCAGAACTGTCAGAATAAAAAATAAAAAAAGAATGCATGCTCAATTTGGTCATGAGAAAATGGGATCCCTCAAAATCAAAATGTCCAACAGTATGTTGCTTATTTCTAACAGAAACCCTACAGTAGAAAACCTCTGTGAAAGCAATGAAGGTAATCACTGTGGGAAAACCGTCATCCAGATTCCAGACCTCACTGTGTTACAAAGCAATGCCCCCAAAGTAAGTCCTATTGAATGCTGTGAGTATGGAAATACTTTTGTGGATCCTTCTTCACATAAGCATCATAGTTCTCACACTGGATGCAATACCTGTCAGTATAAAGAATGTGGAGAATCCTGCAGTTGTTCCTGTCACCTAATGACTCCTGATATAACTCTGAATGGAAATACACCCCGTAAATGTAAGGTATGTGGGAAAGACTTCACATGTATCTCAACACTTAAGATTCCTGTGACAACACTCACTGGTGAGAAACGCTATAAATGCAGTGAATGTGGGAAACATTTCTGTACTTTCTCATCCTTTTGGACACATGTTAGAGACCAGAAATGTAAAGAATGTTGTAAAACATGCAGTCTTCCCTCATCCCTCATTTTACATAAAAACTTGAAAAGCATAGATCTGCCCTACAAGTGCAAAGAGTGTGGTAGTGCATTTGGGGAGCTCTCAGCCTATACTACACATATAAATGCACATGTTGTAGGGAGGCCTCATGAATGTAGTCAATGTGGGAAAATCTTCAGGTACCTTTCAGCCCTCACTTCACATATAAGGATTCACAGTGGAGAGAAGCCTTTTGAATGTCATCAATGTGGTAAAACGTTTAGTGAGGCCTCTTCCCTCACAAAACATACGAGAACGCACACGGGAGAGAGGCCCTATGACTGTAAGGAATGTAGTAAATCCTTCAGATGTTCCTCAGACCTCACTGCACATAAAAGAACTCACAGTGGCCACAGGCCTTATGAATGTAAGGAATGTGGGAAAGCCTTCAAGCAGCTCTCAGCTCTAACTAAACACATACGGACCCACACCGGGGAGAGTCCTCATGAATGTAAGCAGTGTGGGAAAGCCTTTAAGTACCTGTCGTCACTGACTACACATATACGCACCCACAGTGGAGAGAGGCCTTATGAGTGTAAGGAGTGTGGGAAAACCTTTAGGCAGATCTCAGCCCTCACGACACATATAAGGACGCACACTGGAGAGAGACCCCATGAATGTAAGCAATGTGGGAAAACATTTAGGTACCTCTCAGCCCTCACTATACATATAAGGACCCATAGTGGAGAGAGACCTTATGAATGTAAGCAATGTGGGAAAGCCTTTAGGCAGATCTCATCCCTCACGACGCACATAAGGACGCACAGTGGAGAGAAGCCTTATGAGTGTAAGGAATGTGGGAAAGCCTTTAGGTACCACTCATCCCTCACGACACACATAAGGACTCACAGTACAGAGAAGCCTTATGAGTGTAAGGAATGTGGGAAAGCCTTTAGGCAGCTCTCAGCCCTCACGACACATACAAGGACTCACAGTGGAGAGAGACCTTATGAGTGTAAGGAATGTGGGAAGGCGTTCTGGTACCTCTCAGCTCTCACTGCACATGTAAGAACTCACAGTGGAGAGAGGCCTTATGTGTGTAAACAGTGTGGGAAAGCCTTTAAGCAGCTCTCAGCCCTCACTCCACACATAAGGACTCACAGTGGAGAGAGGCCTTTTGAATGTAATCAATGTGGGAAAGCGTTTATTCTGTCTTCTCACCTTTCCAGACACATAAAAACTCACAGTGGAGAGGTCCTATGAAAGTTAGCGATTTGGGAAAGCCTTTAGGTGTTCCTCAGATCTTACCACACATAGAATGCAGTGTAGAGAGGCCCTATGAATGTAAGGGATGTGGGAGAATCTTTAGTTTTTAATAATTCACAGTGGAGTGACTTTCAACAGTTGGATGTTTCATCCTCTTTATTATGATTTCAGGAAGCAAATTTCCAAAGACTTGATTAAGGCACAACATTTCTAAATAGATAAGAAAGCAATAGCAATTCAAAGGGGTCACTAGTGCTACTTTTGTCTGTGGGAGAAATTAGGCTTGTAAGAGTGAGGCTGTTCTCATTAGTGTTGTTATTAGTTCACGCTACATTTTACTTTTCTTAAAGCTCTAGCCATTACGAATGAAGCTGTTAGGGAATATCTTGACCAAATGTGGTTTTATAGTTTTTGACGTTTTATTGATGTTATTTTGCATACAATAAAATACACGAGTTTGTATTTGGTTTAAGTGTATATTATTTTGTTTCCATATTAGTCACATTTCTTTCCTATTATAAAATTACCTATTTTACCTTTGTAATTATTAAACTCGTTATGGAGTGATGCTTTGAGACTGCAAATATTCTGCTTTTCATTGTATTTTGGCCTACTAGTTTTAGTGAGCTTAGATAATTAATGCTTGTGATGATTACTGTGGTGCCTACCAGATGTCTTCTGTTCCAATCGTTTCTCTGTTTATTAAGATTCTACAAAGAATATATTTTCCATTTCTGTCTTTTATTATTAAATCATTTACACCAATATAAGATAGTCTGTGTTACTTTTTGTGGGGCTAAAAGTATCACAATTTGGTTGTTAGGACCTCCCTTAATAGGTTTCTCTTTTTTTAACATGTCCCTATTATGATTTGTGATTTTTGCCGCTATTAGAGACTCATCTTGTCCTATCTCCTCCATGAGCACTGACACCAGACCTTTCCCCAAGTTCCCTTTGCCTCTTTATTAAACCTGGATGTTAGATGCGTTTATTCCTACTGGTTCCTCAATGTGGAAAGAGCTAGGAAACACAAACGTGTGGGTGTGCATGCACACAGACATGCTTCCTGCTGTTTCTGTTTGCCTCTGTGTGTGGACTTTTAAACTGCAAGATTATTCCCATAGTCTCTGACTCTAGTTCAACAGCACATTGTTCATTTTCATCTTTTCGCGTACCTTCTGGGTAATAAGTACTATCAATAATGAATTATTTCCAGGATCTTGGGACATACATAAGATACTTTAAGAATGGCTAACTGAGGTAGTCCCCTTGCAGAAAGCAATTTTTTGAGGTTCTGAGGGTCTGACTACCACTGAGGATAATGAGTGAGAGCAGATAAGATTAGAGAGACCACCTCATGGCTTCATTCTAAGAACATTTTGAGGCATGATTTAGCTTATTCAGGACTGGTCAATAAAAGCATATAAGTCAGGCATAGTGCAGCTTCCAAGTTGTTGAGAATTATTCATCTGTTTGGAGGCAGTGTGTCCTAGAGACATTGAAGTTTGACACCGGGGTCCTTCTAGACTTTGTCCTATGTATATCTCCATTTATTATTATTTTACTATTAATATTATACCCATGCTGTGATCCTAATAATGGCCTTCTTCTGAACTCTCTCACATTTGGCCTTTTCCGTTTGTGGATCTGGCACCAACAGCAGCAGCAACTCTGGTGCCAGCGTTTCCCCTATGAATGAGATTTCAGATATTGCGAATCCCTGAAGTCTGATCTCTTTGAGCCAGGTTGTATCTTCAAAAACCTACTCAATAAAGCACTCTAGAAAGCCACAGTCAATCAATTGAAGCTGATGTTTACATTAAATCTAGTTGGTGTTGTTTTGTAATGCCTGTCGTGCATTCTGGGAGTCATTTTAGTGAATGAACTGCAAGAGTCAGAGGGGACTGAGGACCTCTGATCCCTGGTATTCTAAAGGGAAGACGAAACATGTATTTCCAAGAAAGGATTTGGAAAAATTGAAATCTCTAGAAAAAAGTGTTAAACACAGCTTTTCACATTTAGAATGTTAATGCTACTATGTTGCTTAAGCCAACTGAAATTATTACAAAGATAAGTATAAAAGGCTTTGAATGCGAGTGAAGATTATCTAGTAAAGATCTATGGCAGCAATACTGGGCCTTGCATTTGGCAGCATTGGGCTGCTGCTTCAGATGGCAGTGGAGGGTGTGACTAAGTGTTTCCTGCTGGATTGCTATCCTGTGGCTAACTTCTCCTGGGTGCTTTCCTACCACTGTCCTCACCTACCCTGTTGCACCTACTGTGTCCCACCCCAGAGGTAAACACTGTTCTTCCCGCCTTCTGCCTTGGTTTGCCCAGGTCAGGCCACACCACTTTCCTCTACTTTGCTGGAGTTTCCGGAACTCAGATCCATGCTAAAATCTTGTACTCCTGAGTGTCAGGTCTGCATCGTCCCACTATATGCTTTACCTACCTTGTCATTCCTATCAAGCCTGTCACACTATGAGTCTTCTCCTGTATTCACACCTGTATTTACCTTTTTGATGCTTCTGAATAAAGCTGTGGCCGTGTCAGAATGGTCACATTGATCTGGACGGTGAGTAGGATATTTATGTAATTTTATGGAAATGCCTACATTCCTGCAGTCCCTGCGTCAATGCTCCCTTAGCTTATTGCTCACCCTGGTTCTCCAACCCTCCCCTGGGTGTCCAGAGGTAAACCCTGCTTCTTTTCCATGTCCTTGTTAAAGGGATTGTGAGAGCATGGTGAGTGGGTGTGGACAGTCCACAAATAACTGCTGGTATTCACTTAACTCCCCTCTAACTTGGTGCTCAGCCTAGTTTTCTGGGTGCTTGGGGGAATTATTTGAGCACTACCACTGTCCCACTTTCTGTCCTTCCTCTTCCTAACTTCTGTTTGGAACACTGCAGACAGATTGTAGAAGGAATGGCACAATGAAAGGAGGAAAGGCTCATTTTGATGTGTTTTCAGGGTACGCATTACCTGTGGTGCAGTCATTTGGTAAGTGCATCAGCAATAAGCATACGCACATACTTAATCTGACATGATAGTTTTTTTCCCTACATACAAAAGTAGGGTATTCATTTATGTCTTATAGGAAAGCCTACTTGAAACAAAACATATTCTGGATAGGGATTTAGGGCAGAATTCATCGGACGTTTTAAGAAAGGGCTAAATAGTAAATATTTTTGGCTTTTCAGGACACCTGGTCACCTTTTCAGAGACTTTGCTGCTGTAGCGTGAGAGGAGCCGTAGTCAGTGCATACATGAGTAATTATGACCATGTCCAAACAACAGTATGTTATAAAATAAACTGGCAGATTTGGCCAGGATCTGTGTAATATTTCTGCCCATCACTTAAGAGAGTAGATTCAGACAGAACAAGCAAATCACAGAGGACACTGCAAAATTATTAGAAGAAATATCTTGCAGCAACTGTTCTGTAGGACTCACCTAGCAATAGGTCTGGTGTAATTGTGATTCAGCCTCTACCCTGTTTCACTGGGCAATGCTGGTGTGACTGCCAGACCTTCCATCATCCTGACCTTCTGTGTTGGGCCGGGTTGACTAGATAGAGAAATCCAGTGACACTCATATATGTGTAAGAGAGAGCTTTATATTATGTCTCAAGCAAACATCCAGCCCAGCCCAAATCAAGTACATAAGTCCAATACTAGTCCATAAATCCCTCTTCAGACTCATGCAGCCACATGCAATGATGCAGAATACAGGAGGATCACAGGCCAGTGGGTGCAAAGTTGTGTGGATACCAATGGTAATGGCTGCATCACAGGGCTTACAGCAGCCAGGGTGTGCCAGCAGGAAGGTGAAGGCAGAAAGGAGGTGGTTCCCAGTATGCTCCTTATGAGAAGGTCACACCCACAAGGAGGCATCATCAGGCTGTGACCTGATTGACAGGCTAGAATCCACCCCGTACACTTTTATATATCTTCAAGTTGACATGAAATTATGTAACTACTTCCCACCTTCCCATGCCCCTTTAATTTTAAATAAATAATGTTGCCTTTGAGTAAACAGACTCATGACAGGAATTTAATTTCTTCCATTAATGGAAAGTTTTACAACAAATAATGGTGGTGGCTACAGAATGTTGTTAATGTAATTAATGCTGTTAAATAGTAAATGTGGAAAATGCTAAATTGGCAAGGGGTGTGTGTGTGTGTGTGTGTGTGTGTGTGTGTGTGTGTGTGACACAGAGGAAGGAGAGGTGAATAGGAGGAACAGGCTTCTTTTTCAGGACAATGAAACGATACCACAGGTTATTGTAAGGATAGAGACGTGACATGCTTTTGTCAAAACCCATAGGACTATTCAACATAGTGAACCCTGATGTAATCTGTGGACTTTAGTTAATAATGCATCAGTATTGATTTGTTAATTGTAACAAATTCGTCACACACTGCAAGAATGTAAGCTGTTAACAGTAGGTGGGTGTGGGCCCACATGGAGAGTCTATGCACAATTTTTCTGTAAACATAAACCATTCTAAATATTGATTTAACATTTTTGGTAAATGGAATCCCATTTTTGCATTTTCTGTTTTCATAACAAAGGCTGTAAAATTAATAGCAATGGAAGTGGACATATCTGACCTCCTCTCGCTTCCCTCTGGCCATGAAGCAGGGACAGATAGGTATGCCTCCAGAGTCCACCCTTCTTTACCCCTTCTGTCTTTCCATTCTTTCCACACCACTTTACATCGATGTTGACTTTGATAATTCACTGCAGTGGCTACACAGAACTCGCAAACAATACTCGCAGTTAAGGGGGTCTATTGGGGAAGGAAATAAACTAGGGTTATTCTCTTCCTAAACCTGTATTGTTAAGGCCAATTGGGGATCAATGCCCTTTTCTCTTGAGTTTGGAAACTTGTGAACTTGCTAGGCTAAATGTTGTTAGGGGGCATAGAGTCAGATCCAACTCACAGTGACCCTATTGTGTTAGTCTGGGTGGACTAGAGAAACAAATCCATGGACACCATATGTGTATAAGAGTTTTATATAAAGGGTAATTGTACATTAATAAAGCTTCCCAGCCCAGTCCAGTCGAGGCCCATAAGTCTGTACTAGCCCATATATCCGATACCAATCCATGAAGTCCTCTTCAGACTCACGAAACTCATGCAATGACACTGAATGCAGGATGACCACAGGCCAGTGGGTAGAAAGTTTTTTGATTCAGTGGCGGTTTAAGCATCTCAGCACTGACAGGGGTCTCCGAGTGGCTTCTGCAGCACCCAGGGCTGCATCAGGGTAGGTCCATGTGGCTTCTGCTCAGGAATGTCTCACCGGGAGTCAGCCTTTGTCAGTAGAGTGTCTCACAGGGAGTGAGTCAAGAAAGAGGTGTACTCTGCCTCCAAGGAGGAAAAACAGGAATTCTCAGGAGTAGGTAGGTCATGTCCACACAGGCTTCAATGGCTATGATCTGATTGAAAGACTAGACTCCACCCTTCAGTCCTAAGCCTCTCAAGTCCCAGTTTGACACCAGATTATGTAACTACCATACCTACGTATAACAGGGTGAAACACTGCCCACTCCTTGAGCTGTCCTTACAATTCTTCTAATGTCTGAGCCCATCGATGCTACTACTGTATCAATCTGTCTTGTCAAAGCTCTTTTTCATTGCCCCACTACTTTAACAAGTATAATTTCCTTCTTCAGGGGACATCTTTGGACAATGTGTTAATCCGGGTTGACTAGAGGAATAAATCCAGAGATACTCAAGTTTGTATAAGAAAGATTCTTA